ACATGGTCCCCTGGATAAGGGGAAAGGGACAAGATCTCCTGAGCAAATTTAGAGCATGGGAAGAGGGGGGAGGGAGCTACGAGAAGGGTAGAAGAGGAAGGATGCAGAGATCATGAGGAAGCAGAAAGGTTGAGTTAGGTGAAAAATAGAAGAAAGGGCATGTGATAGTTAGGAGGATGGTAGGGGAAGAAGGGAGGGATAGGGAAGTGGGATTTTCATGTAAATCAATCTTGTTTCTAAAATAAAAAATGATTAAAAAGAGTTGTTTTCCTATTTCCATTGTATAATTTCAGCTTGTTTGTCAAAAATCAGGTGTTCATAGGTGTGTGGATTAATAATGTCTTTGAGGCTAATGGAAGTAGACACCTACAGCTTAACGTTGAAATGACCTGAAATCCAGTTGCAGAGGAAGACTGATGAGCAAAGGGGTCCAGACCAGGCTGGTGAAACCCAATGAAACAGCTGACCTGAACAAGGGAGAGCTCTTGGTCCCCAGACTGATAGCTGGGAAACCAGCATGGGACTGATCCAGACCCCATGAACCTAGGTGTCAGTGAGGAGGCCTCAGAAATCTATGGGGCCTCTTGTAGTGTATCAGTACTTATCCCTAGCATAGGAATGGACTTTGGGAGCCCATTCCACATAGAGGGATACTCCCTGAGCCTAGACACGGGGAGAGCCTAGGCTTCATCCCAAAGGACATGACAGACTCAGAAGATCCCCCATGGAAGGCCTCACCCTCCCTGGGGAGCAGAAATGGTATGGGATAGGTAGAGTATTAGTTGGGGGAGGCATGGGAGGAGGGGAGGGAGACAGAACTGGGATTTATATGTAAAATAATCTTGTTTATAATTCAAATAAAAAAATGGAGAGAGAGAGAAAAAAATTTTTTCATTTGAATTGTTTCCTGATCTGACTTCTTCTGGCTCTTATAGAAAAGTAGTGATTACTTTTTTGTTTGTTTGTTTGTTTGCCTTTAATTTTTTTTCTTTTGAGATGGGATCTGTTTATGTAGCCCTGGCTGTCCTGGAACTCACTATGTAGACTTGGCTGGCCTCAAATCCACAGAGATCCTTTTTGTCCTGCCTTTCCAGTGCTGACATTAAAGGCATTCACCATCATGGCCAGCAGGGCTTACTTTTTAAGCCTAACAATATTCACTTAATTTCTTTTTAACCTACAGCACCCAGTATTTCCAAGTTGTCCCCCATCCAAGTACTAACCTGGCTGGACTATGTTTAGCTTCTGAGATCAACGTTCAGGGTAGTATGGCCATAGACCCATTTAATAGACACATTTAAGTATTTAATGTTGCAAAGCTAAAGACCATCAACAGAAACTTTAGATAGTTCAATAGCTAGATAGGATAGATTTAGGAATCAGTGAGAAATCTTAACATTAATGCAATGAGCTTTTTTCCCCTCTAAATTTAAAGTGAATACTGATCTGCTAGAAATATTGTCTCAAACCATAAATAGACTCCAGTGAGATGGCAGAGTGGACAAAGACCCTTGCCACCAGGCCTGATATCCAGGACCTACAAGATGGAAGAGAAGGAATGACTCCTCAAAGTTGTCTTCTGATCTCCATACAGACAGGTGTCACACACACACACACACACACACACACACACACACACACACAAATAAAGAAAAATTTTAAATAAAATAAATTGGGTTTTTTTTTAATGTGTAACTTAACCACCCCTACACCACCACACATAGAGTGAGATTATGTCTTACCTTGACTTCTTGGCTGGGCATTAACCTCAGAATTCATTGCTGTTAATAATGGAATGAATTACTGGGCGTTGGTGGCGCACACCTTTAATCCCAGCACTTGGGAGGCAGAGGCAGGTGGATCTCTGTGAGTTCGAGGCCAGCCTGGTCTCCAGAGCGAGTGCCAGGATAGGCTCCAAAGCTATACAGAGGAACCCTGTCTGGGAAAAAAAAAAAAAAAAAGAAAAAGAAAAAGAAAAAAAAATAATGGGATGAATTGATTGGGCAGTGGTGGCAATTGCCTTTAATCCCAGCACTCGGCAGATCTCTCTGAGTTTGAGACCAGCTTGGTCTACAAGAGCTAGTTCTAGGACAGCCTCCAAGCCACAGAGAAACCCTGTGTCGAAAAACCAAAAAAAAAAAAAAGCCGGCCATTGGTGGCACATGCCTTTAATCCCAGCACTCGGGAGGCAGAAGCAGGCAGATCTCTGTGAGTTCAAGGCCAGTCTGGTCTCCAGAGCGAGTGCCAGGATAGGCTCCAAAGCTACACAGAGAAACCCTGTCTCGAAAAAAAAAAAAAATGGAATGAGTCCTTTGAATTGTATCCTGTGTATACACTCCTGGCTGTCCTGGAACTCGGACTGGCCTTGCCCTCTGCCTCCCCAGTGCTGGGATTAAAGTCATGCACCACCACCACTGTGCTGGTATCTCTTTTAATATAAATGATAACACAACGTCTAAACTGTTTTGATTCTTACTATTCTTTAACAACCATATGTTTTGGCACATTTATTTTGCATCATTTTCAGACAGCTGCCATGGAGGAGAGATGGAAGAAAGAGAAATGCAGTAATGGGGTTAAGTAGCATCTCTCTGGATTCATCTTCTACCAACACCTGAGGGATCCTCAACCCTACTTCAAAGCCCGTGTGGATGACTCATCAGCCTCCTTGAGTGATAAGAAGTTGCTCATGTCCACACTCTGATGATGCCACACAGGGGCTTAGTGCATACTGTCACTGTCCTGTACAGTGGAGAAAGGTGTCTTTTCTGCCATCATGTCCCACAAATCTTTTCTGTCATAACAACTTGTCAAGTTTCTAATTTTGACATGGCCCACAAACTCTTCAACCCTGAAACAGCACACAAGACTCAAAACTATCTTTCTCTGTGGTGGTACACTCTTTTGACCCCACCACTCAGGCAGGTTGATCTCTGAGAGTTCAAGGCCAGCCTGGACTACATAGAGAGACCCTGACTCAAAAACAAACAAACAAAAATCCAAACCAAGCAAAAACAAAGCCTGGCGTTGGTGGCGCATGCCTTTAATCCCAGCACTTGGGAGGCAGAGGCAGGCGGATCTCTGTGAGTTCAAGACCAGCCTGGTCTACAAGAGCTAGTTCCAGGACAGCCTCCAAAGCCACAGAGAAACCCTGTCTGGAAAAACCAAAACAAACAAACAAACAAACAAACAAAAAACAAACCATCATCTTTATTCAGGAGCACTTTTTTCCTGTGGTGTCAGGGCCATGCATGCCCTAGGCAAGTGCTCTTCTACTGAGCTATAGTCCAGTCCCTAGGAACTATGTCACATTTTTAAAATGAAATGCTTGAATCTTCTGACATTATAACAAAGGCTGAAATCTCAGCATCCAGGAGGCGATGCAGGAGGATCATTGCAAATTCACAGCCTGTCTACATAGCAAGTTCAAGGCCATAGTGAACCTTTGTCCAACAAGCGAAGGGGCAGAGGCTGGCAGGGTGGCTCATTTTAAAATAAAAAGGGAGGGCAGAACAGCTTTGCAGGTAAAGCACTTGCTGTTAAGCCTGATAGCTCGGCCCAAGTTTAATCCCTGGGATCCATGTGGTTAGGAGAGTAAACACACGTGTCACATCTTGTGAGAACCTATGTACTTATACATAAATGCATACAAAATAAATATTTAATTTTTAAAGAAACAAAACAACAACTCACTCCCCCCTCCCTCAGTAATTTAAGACAATGTTTCTCTGTGTAGCCCTCGATGTAAGTGCTGGGATTAAAGGTATGTACCACCACTTCCCAATCTTTTTCTTTTAAATGTTTCCTTAAACTAGGAATTTTCTTGAGGTGCCCAATTCCTTCTGGCCAATGGACCTCTGGTGGCCTCTCAGCAACCTCCAGATACTCTCTGTTGGGTCTCAATCCATTGGTTCAAATTGGGTTTCAGTGGTAGCAGATACTTGCAGTCTTGGCACTGGGAAGGCTGAGGCAGAAAACAATGAGTTTGAGGCCAGAGTGAGCTAAATAGTGAAA